TGTTGTGGTAATATATAAACAATATATTGTGCAGTCCTAAATAGCACAATACTTCTTAATGATTCAAAAGAGATTTAACAAAAAAAATAAAAAAAATAAAAAATAAATAAATAAAGATTTAGTTAAACTAAGATAATCAGCAGCTTGCCTTCATGAAAAATGTGCTTTGGTAAACTTGATGGGATAATTGACCAATTGTTCTGCGTTCTTTAGGGTTTCGCCTGAATGCATCATCATGGCCTATGTTCTTATTAAAAACACTCAACGGAGCAGAAATGGCCCCAGCTCGAATCTTTCACAAGGTATCAGTTTCAAACAACAAACAAACAGCGGTTTCAAAGTCAAGTTTAAAGTTTTGGCTTGTTTTATGTGTAAAAAAAATCTAAGTATTTACATTTACCTTTCATCTCTTTACTCTTTCTCTGATGTATTCCCCTTTATCTTTTTGGCCCTCCAGCAAGAGCCACCTGCCCCGGAGCAGAACTTTTTTGAGGTAGGGATGAAGCTGGAGGCGGTGGACAGAAAGAATCCCCACTTCATCTGTCCTGCCACAGTGGGTGCCCTGAGGGGCGTGGAGGTGCTGGTCACCTTCGACGGCTGGCGGGGTGCTTTTGATTACTACTGCCGTTACGATTCCAGAGACATCTTCCCTGTCGGCTGGTGCACGCTCACTGGAGACAACCTGCAGCCACCAGGCACTAAAGGTGCGGACCACTCAGCATGGAATAATTCTGTTTACATTAGCATTCAGACACAGTGTTGACTGGAGGTAAGAGGTGCAAAAATCGAAGAGCAGAATTAGCTAGGTCAGTGCTAGATACACTACTGTTTAAATGTTTGGTATCAGCACAAAGTGTTTTATTTTAACAAAGATGAAATTAAACGTGACATTTATAATCAAAATAATTCTACAGCAATTCTGTATTTAACATTTTGTTTATCAAATAAAGGTGAGGGAAAAAAGGCTGGAAAAAATGCTACTTCTACTATAATATGAAGTAGCACTGATAGTAATTAAAGCTTAAAATCAGCATATTTTAATGATTTCTGAAGGTTCACGTGACACTGAAATCTGGAGTAAATACAGCTGAAAATTAAGCCTTGACAAAAAATAAACATAGAAAATATTTGTGCGATGTTCATTTGTTTATGATTATTAGAGCTGGGCAAAGATGAATCGTGATTAATTGCATCCAAAATAAAAGTTTGGTTTGACATAATAAATGTGTGTGCATTATATATATTTATTTATGTATATGTGATACACACATACATAGAAACAAAGCTATACAAAACAAATTTGTTTCATAGATATTTCAATATGTAAATATTTATATATAAAGACAAGCATTTTCTGGAATATGCATGCCTGTGTGTATTTATATATGAATAATAAATAGCACACACACTTAAATTATGTCAAAAACAACTTTTAATAATCATTACTAATCATGAAAAATAATAATTATAACTTAAAATAATTTTCACAAATGTGTTAAAATGTGTGTTGTGTAAAATAATGCGTGTTTTCAGTATATAAAGTTATTTGTTTTGAAAAGCTCCTCAGTTTTTAGCTAATTAATTTAGATGTGATTCAAAAGGCGTAAGACGCAACATAAACTCAAGCAACTTTGCCATGCTTGAAGCTTAGAAGTAGAATATTTTAAAGTTTCTGTGTGCACAGACGGAGCGGTAGTTGCTGCAAGGTTAATGCGGACTTCACGGTTCACTTAAGATGTAATCTCATTTACGCCAAATCACAGAAATACAGCATGTGTGAATTGGTCAAGCACTGTACATATGCATTTAATCACTCGCTTTTCTGACACACAATGGGCCTTCTGTAAATGATGAGCAGCAGATCTAATTTATAATTTAAATATGTCATTCCAAATCTTATATTTAAAACACAAGCTTTTTATATTTTAAAGACATACAAAAATTTAATGCAACTTACATTTGAAAATATAAGAAATTGTGTATGTATGTGACATATAGCCTATGTTTATCTGGTCCAAGCAACATTTCCAGGGTTTGATGAATAGGCTACTATACATTAATACTTTACAAGTACATGCGTTTTCTTTTTCTTTTAAGAACAGTACCATTTTAATTAACTTTTTAAAGCACATTTTAATTTAAACAGTGAAGTTTTTGTCCGCAAGTACAGTTAATGTTCAAACTATTTATAATGTTTAAAGTGGCTGTCAATAATACATATTCTTAATAATAGTAATTAATCCGCCTCGTTTTTGAACTGTGCAGTGCTGTAGCTGCTAAATTAGGCCTACTATGCTACTGTGTTTTATAGAGGTGTAAACCTACACTGGTCTCACGGTTCGGTTCAGTTACTAGGTTAAGGTATTGTTACTGACTGCTCCCGCACTTTATTCGGAAATTTATTCCAGCACCACAAGATATTTAGTCGGGTCCTGCGGCACAGCGGGAATGCAGACCTTTATCCAGAGGTATCGCTGTAACAGCCGAGAGAGAGGAAAAGTCACTCCAGCAGATCAAATGGGCCACAGAGTGGGAGAAAGAGAGAGAGAGCGAAATGGAGTTAACTTTCATTTTTTCAATCACAGTGAAATAGGAGCTTCTGCTGTAAGTGTCAGTGAAAGACTGTCCAGAAAAAACACACACAGTGAAATTGTGCACAGTTTCTGCGTTTTTAAGTAGTTGGAGCGTTGCAAATACTTGAGCTTGCCTCCCTTGCCATAGTAAGCTACGGCGACATATCGCATGTGAGATAAATGGCGTCAGTACATAATAACCGGTTAGGATTATTACTGAACCGATACCGAATTGTCCATGTCTGTATCGCGGTGCACCGAAGAAACAATCAATTTTGACACCCCTATTATTTTAATACTGGTCTTTAAGGTGGTACTTGGAGAAAAACATTTTCTGAGTTGGTACTTGGTAAAAAAAGATTGAGAAACACTGACCTATAGCATATGTCTTTGGACTGTGGGGCAAAACGGAGCACCCAGTGGAAACCCACGCCAACACAGGGACTTTCTTGCTGTAAGGCGACAGTGCTAACCTCTGAGCCACCGTGCCGCCTTATATTGGATTAATCGTGATTATGTTTTGCCTAGCACTAATCATTATAAATTTTTTAAAATTATATTGTCATTTTTAATTGTTATACTAGTTTACAGTAGCACTATTTATACTGTATTTTCTGATAAAAAAAAACAACCTTTTGAAATTATCTTACTGACCCCAAACGTTTACATAGTAGTGGACTCACAGTGTTGCATATTTGAGTTTGAGACTAATGTTGGTGGTGGTGAACAAATGAGGTTGTAATGTACTGGAGTTTGACAACAGAGGTAGAATTCATATGCAGCTATAATAGTTTCAGGCAGGCAAGGTTAGAGGCCAGAACAGACAGTAATACACAGATAATCCAAAGAGTAGGGATAGCTGACGTGAAACGGACGTTTCGACAAAGTGTTGAGATCCCAAAGCGCAAGTGTTTCGAAACACTGCAACAAAGCATGATCCAAAACACCCAGGTCACATGACTAAGGTGATTCGAAACACCCAGGTCACGTAACTGAAGTGTTTGGAAACACAAGGGTACCTGACTAAAGCGATTCAAAGCATCAGTACTTTCAGAAGCTTTACAAGACCTGGCGAATCTGCATTTGAAAAATAACAATAAAGCTGCATCACCGTGGATTCAAACCCATTATCTCGGAATGCTAGTCTGAAACTCTCACCACTCTACTAAATCACTTGAAGCCTTAACTTTACAACGTGGGATTTAATACCTCAATCTATTTAATTGTTTCTTTGCTGAAGCTGTTCCAGAACAGTACATAAATATGACCACTAGGTGTCACAATAGAGGTGGGCTTCAAAACGTTTCGAAGCTTCGACACATTTGCTTTGACTGTTTCAGTGTTTCATGAAGCCTTGGTTTGCCCACCACTACCAAAAAGTAAACGATGAAACAGGTGAAGGGGTCAAGATGAGCAGCAAACAATTAATAAATAGTATAAACAATCAAAGGGTTAAAACATGGCTAGGCAAAAAAATAAAAAAAATGCATTGTAAAGTTCACAGTGGAAAGAAGACTGAGCATTGGATGTGTGTGTGTGAATGGTGTATATATTTATGGCCCATGTAATTAGAGATGATGTCCTTCAGCTGTGTGTAACCGGAAGCTGAACTGTAACTGGTGTGTGACTGCAGGGTTGGATGGAATTTGTAGTTCAATTGAATGACAAGTAGTGTTCTTCGGGTTTAGTGAGGTTTAGTAAGGCATACAATGATGATTCACTCAATTCAGTTTGCATAATGCACATTTCACTTGTTAGCAGATCTTTTGATACCAGAGGAATTCACGAGAATATATGACTTAATTAGCAAAACATGGTAAGTTTAACTTAGTGAGAAATTGTAGCTGTTACATGAACTACAGCAGATGTAAATGATTATACTGGGTTTTCTCAATGGAAAAACTGAAAAAAGCTTTTTCAATGGGGTCGATACTGGATGACATAAAGGTTAATAATAAATGATGGCTGAATGTTCATTTTTGGGTGAGCTGTTCCTTTAAGCAATAAAGACAGTTGATGGAGAGAAAATCAGAGAGAGTTTTGGTTTACAAGGGGTTGGCATCCACCCAGCTGGCGAAGCTGCAAACCCTGTGCCCAATAGCAGGCCTCGCATTAAAAAGCTGGTGGGACTGTTTGAGTGGGATGAGAGAAGAGGGTTAAAGAGACAACGCAAGGCCGGCAAGTTTGGCAGTGGAAGAAAAACCTTGTCAGGCCTCTAAATACACACTAAACTTCACATCTAGTCAGGGTAAGCAAGCTGTTATGTTTTTTTTATTTGTAAAAGTCTTCATGTGTAATGGAAGCTGGGATCGAACCAAAAGAAAGTCCACCACCATGTTCGTGTAGAAAAGACTTTCGGGGTTAACAGTACTAGAAAGAGTGTCACTATAGGCAGACTTTAACGCTTTAGAGAGCAGATCGAAACTAAAGGGCAGGAAGGAAGTGAACTGACTGAGAGTTTTAGTTGCCACAAATTGCAAGATCAAGAGCAGACCCTCGCTCAGTGAGGGTTTTGTAGTCTATTTTTCTACGTTGGATGAGTACAGAGTGCAATGGAATCACTAACAGGTAGTGTTTAAAGTGTGTTTGCTCAATTACATTCTTTCTGGTGTCTTTTGTTTACTCTGGCTTCATTTCTGATGAATGTTTCATGCAGTTAATGTTGGTGAACTTTTCACTCTCCTGCTTTTTGTACTCAATTTCAATTTAATTCTTACGTGCTGATCTCTTCCTCTTTTCTTGTTGTTTTTTCCCTCTTGCGTTTTTTCTTTTCGTCTCTGTTGCACTTCAGAAGCTCCAAAAATGTGTAACACAACACGTTTCTTTGTTAGGATGCCTTAGAGAAAAATGGGTCAGCTCTGCACAGCGCTTCTTTTCATCTTCAGCTTCTGTTTGTAGCTGCACGTTGTGTTGTAATACCCTGTTTGATTTGTATTTTCTTTTCGTTTTTAATATTTGGCAGTTGGGTTACCGAAGACACTAGGTGCACTTAGTGCCCTGCCAGACAGTGGCACAGAGGGGACAGGCATGCCTCCTACGCCTGGCCGACCCCCACCACAGAAGAAACGTAAGCCTGGCCGCAAGAAAAACAAACTGTCTGGGCCCTGGGGTCAGAAGGGAACACTTGGTTCTCAGACAAGCTTACCTGACAAAGAAGTGGAATCTATTAAAATCCCCAAGAAACGAGGCCCCAAACCAGGAAGCAAGGTAAAAACGACATTGAAAGTTATTACAGATTCAAGTATTTCAGTAGTTGCTGGGGTCTTCATGTTTTGCAACAAGAACAGCTCGAGAAAGCAGGTAAAACAAAAGCAAAAGGCAAAGAAATAAAAAAAACAAGTAAATAAAATGTGGTTAAAAATCAGGCAGCCGCAAGGGCTTTTCTTTTTCTGGATTGCTTTTGAAAACACTGGCATTTGAATTTAGGGAAGGTGGCGGGTGGGGGGATCGGTTGGTAGGTCAGTCAGTCAGTTGCCAACAGCCTCTGGTGGATTTACGTGAGAAGAGAAAGTGGGTGAAGTCTAGATCAGATACGCGGCTGACCGGAAGTGCGATATGCGCATCAATATAGCAGCATTTTTTTATGACACTATAACAATAATTAAGATTTTTACAGTACTGTGACGGTTGGGTTTAGGGTTGGGGTGGGGGTAGACGTTAATAAATAAAATAAATGGGAAATTGAATAAATAATTCTCGTTAACTTCCGGTTCCCATAGATTATGCATTTTCTGGAATATCATGGGATTTTAAAAGGTGTATTCCAGGCATTGATAGGAATTTAGGTTGTCGCTTTAAATTTTAGTTTGTATTTATCAAAATGTAATTTTTCTTTAAAATATATATTTTTTATCCGCTTAAAACGTTTTACACGTTTTCCTTAAATCAAATGTAGTCACTAGGTTGTACTGGTTACTGAAGGCAAACATGTCAATTTCAAGAGCTTTGGCTACAAAATGACAACTTCAAATACTTGGTGCTCTTCGTTCTTTTCATTTCTTTTCAAATCTGAAGTAAATTATCCACTGTTGCAACCTTAATGGCTATTAAATGAATTAAAATGTTATAGTCGTGCTCTAACAATTTTAATATTATGCAAAAGCATTCCAATGAATTTCAGCTTTTTAGGCAAAGTCTTCACTTTAGATGAAGTCAGGGAATTTGACATTTGGGTAAGAGTGGAAACCCTGCCAGGGGTGCTAGTACATTGACTGATTTAGGCCTGGCATGAACAAATATAAATGGCACAAAAACCACCAGTAGACAACAGCTTATGAATGCTTGGTCAAAAACAAAAAGCAATATTCTATCTGTATGAATTAATCATTGGATCATTAGATCATTCAATTCAAATCAAAGATTCAGTAAGTAAAAAAAGTAAAAGCAGCACAATTTTTGTTAATGAAACAAATTACAGACAATATTGTCTGAAATGTAACTCTAGCAACACTATCTGTTAAACTGTTGCATGAAATCAAAAGTTTCACTTGCATGATTGCACTTGTGCTGGTATTCAGGAAAACTACACTCTTTCTTGGTGATACTTAATATTATAAATATGAAAAAAGCCTTTGAATGAATATATTTTATGTTTCCTTATCTTAAGTCTCACTATCTCAAAATTGTCTGCTTGCCCATTGTTAGAATAACAATGCTGGTATTATCATTGTTGATAATCACATGGAAGATAACCATATATTTCCATACATTTCTCATTTAAATCCTTTAAAATGTAAAAGATATCAATCTGAATTAATTGAGCTTTGTCATGTGTGGTTTTACCCATACCGGAAATTAGTCCTCTGCTTTAAACCCAGTTAAGTGCACAATCACATTTCGACTGAGGAGTGAGAGCACATATAAAGTGAGCATACAACCAGAGCAGTGGGCAGCAATTGCTTCCAGCACCCAGGGAGCAATTACGGTTTAGGTGCTTTGCTTAGGGGCACTTCAGTTGCATTATAGGTGTTTTGTTGTACCATTTCCTAGGAATTTGATACTTTCTGTCATGCAAAAGAAGATGCCACTCTCACAAAGCATGTTTTTCCATTGCACTGTGCTGCTTTTCTAATTTGTTTCTGTTTAAACATGCTCAACATAGATATATTTGACTGCTGGCACTCAAATCTCACACATAACTTGCTGTCTAAAAAAACCCAGCTCTCAACTTTAAGGAAATTTAAATAAGCATGTGTCCACACTTTTTGGGTTATTTTTTATTCCTTTATTTTGCCCCTGATATTTTTAAATGCAAAGTAAAAGCATTCTGGTGCTTTTGAAAATCAGACACAAGTCCACATTAAATTTATTAGCTATAGTCCCATCCATCAGCTCCAATGTGCTTGTTTAAATTCTGCTGATATACAGTAAACAGTAAAGTTTCTGTTAAATACCTAAGTTGGTATCTGTCAGGGTTGTGGATGGGAAATGGGGAAAAAGGAGCAAGGACTCAAATGCAGGGAAGTGGAATTTTATTAAATAATAAAAATAAAATAAAATGCAAAATAAACTACCCCAAGGGGGAAAACATTAACAAAACAAATACATACACATACAAATAGGACTGGAAACACGACAGGACAAGACTTCAAAAAACAACATGTGATGACGAACTGGCACAGGACAGCAAATGTGAGGGGTTTATAAACTGTAGAAAATTAACACACAAACAGGTGAACACAATTAACTAATAATGGGTTAACAAGGAGGGTGGGAAAAGACAACAGACGGGAGAGCGCATGACACAGAGAGACAACACAAGCCATGCGCTCACATAAAACAGGACAAGAACATGCAGCCAATGAGAGAACTCATTAACTGAATGTTTATGACAACAAACACAACACTGAAGCACACGACAAAAGCACGTGACCACAATGTAAACACATAGCCACGTGCTTTGACAGACGCAAGACACGAGCACACGATGAATGACAACACTCACCGTGCGCTCACACACGCAGCGTGCATGTTTCATCCCAGCGCCGACCAAAACCGAAACCAACTGGATTGAGACGCTGGGAATGAAACTCCACGCTGCAGACAGACGAAAACACAAACACGAGCACAAGAGGCACGCAAAGACCGCGCGGCCGCAGCAAGCGGGAGCGCGCACACTCTGCGTACACCCACAACGGCGTGCGCACACACAGAGACACACAATGACAGAAACAGAACGAGACTGAGCTAGTGTCAGAGCTCTTGCTTTGCCACCAAAACAAGAATTTACAAGACCAGAGTGGTAGAACCCTGATAGTATCATTAGTTTTCAGAGTATCGACTTGTGTTTGAATGTGTTTTTTATGTTGTCTTCTAGTTGAGCTGGGCTAAAAAGACAGCATGGCTTGAGGAAACAATTGGAGGTCCCGGTAGACCTATCAGCAAACCCAGAGGAAAACTACCAGCCAGCTGGACCCAGAAAGTGCAACAAAATCCAACTGATCCCATTAAACTCCCAAAAAAGCGAGGCCCCAAACCTGGCGTAAAGGTTCACATTTTCAACGATTAATCTTAGAAACCAAACGGACCAGCATAAGGCAGTGCTATTTATGCAAACTCCTCCTTACTGTCTCACACAGAGAAAGCCTCGATTGATACCCAACCCAATGCCCACCTCCCCAAGCAGTAGCACTCCAGAGCCGGACACCAGCTCAGTCCCGATGGACAATGCCACAATTCCCAAAGCCGCCCTACAGGCCCCTACAGGTACTACTGCATGCGTATATTTTCAGGTTTACCCTTGCAAAGAAGTATTCCACTGTTGCATACTTGCATAACTTACAATTTTTCTGTTTCAGTGTGTGTGTACCTGAATAAACATGGCAATGTGGGTCCCCATCTGGATGCACGGCGTGTCCAGTCTCTCCCAGATCACTTTGGGCCTGGCCGAGCCTCCTCAGTGCTGCAGCAGTGTGTTCAGGCTTGTGTGGACTGTGCACATAACCAGAACACAGTTTTTTCCTGCCTAAAACCAGGCCATGGAGGTGAACTCATATCAGGTCAGCTTGCACAAACTACTATTACTGTAATTAAATAAAGCTAAAATGATTTTTGCTGTTGAAATAAATGCCACCAGATTAATTTTACTGCAGTTTAATAATTTAGAATATGTAATTTATTAATGCAATTTATATTACAAATATGCAGTATTTTAAGGGCCTGCTGTCAAATCAGTTGAAATCATTTTTTATAATCACACAACACATTGTGATTTTAGTTTTATTTTAATGAATCCCAATTTAAAAAATGGTTTTAATTCATTTAGCGATCATAAACAAACAGATTTTTCTGGGGTTGGGATTATTATAATTATTTATAATGTGTGTGTGTGTGTGTGTGTGTGTGTGCCAATCCCTTAATCAGTACTTTTAAAATTGCAACTGACATTAAATTACATTAATGGCATTAATTAACTTTTTTATATATATTTAAATCTAACAATATATCAAAAGTTTAAGTACACCTGAATGTAAAAATAAAAGTAATTACAAAGCCAAGGTGTCCGCGGGGTCTTAAAATATAGTAAAAATTGATAAATCAATTATGAGAAAATTAAGGCCCTTAAAAGATGAAAAAGTCTTAATAGCATTTTTACAAGGTCTTCAATTTTGTTCAAGAGTTGTCCAAAGTGTTTGACTCCAAAAAAGCATAAATATATTTATTTTCCACCTAATATTAACAACGGCGTGCTCAATCCATGCGATTGGTTCGGGCCAGGGCACGTCCGGCTAAGCTTCTCCGTTGTGTTGTGACGATCTCCATAGATCGAAACAGATGGCAAAATGGGAGAATGAAAGTTTGCGTACTCCTGTTTGGAGAAACACAACTTTAAACAGTGGCTGAAGACTGTCGCTGAAAACAACTACGTAATTTATTCTTTCAAGCTTTGTTTCTTCCGAGCTTATCGGGAGTTTTGTCGCATGAATGTGCTCCATTAATAATTTATTAACAACTGTTTATTAAGTAAAAGGTTTGATACTGATTAGAGTTTGAAGTGGCGATGAGCTCTTAAAGTATTTTGAGCAGGTCTCTAAAAAGTCTTAAAAAGATACTGAAATTACCTTTAGGATTTCTGCATATACCCTGAAAACACAAATAAACCTAAGGCATCTAACCCTACAATTACAATACTAAATACCAGCTCAGGCATTTAGAGGCACCTAACCTTCATTCTGGTTAGGTCCAATACATCCCCCCTAGTAACCACTAAACTTTGCTCTTTTGACTTTTAATAGCCTACTTTGAGCAGCAGCAGCACACTCTAACACTGCCGGCAGTGAACAGTGTGACGTATGTGCTGCGCTTCCTGGAGAAACTCTGTCACAACCTGCACTGCGACACATTGTTCGGCAATCAGCCCGTCCCTCTGGGAGTTGTTCACTATGACAGCCGGATGTACACAGGTCAGCGCTCATGCGAACACATCTGCTCTCACCCATTACTGTCTTTTGATCTTTAAAAAGAGTGCTTCATGTGTGTTGTAGAGAGAAGAAACTTTGCAGAAAGTCTGAGTTCTGGACCTGGTCGGGGCACTAAGAGATTTCTCCAGCATGACGCCTACAGCAGCAAACCTGTACCACACAAAATATCTAAAAACCACCGTCTCTCCTCTGAAGGTATTTCACTGTTTTACTGCTATTACAGTATTTACAGGGTGTTCGTGGGCCTACAACAAAATTTTAGGTCTTGTAAAGTCTTAAATAGAATGAAATATTGTGTTGTAGGTCTTCAATTTCTTCTTTGTCCATGTGAAACTACACAATCGGGCCGGCAAACAACCAATCACCAACAACACATCTCAATAAAACTTTTAACAAACCTCCTGGACAGACTCTTGTGCATGCATTTAGTTTATTATAGTTTTTTTAAGTAAAGTTATGTTTAAAAAAAAAAAGAGAGTATGAACTAGTGTTTGCTTGTTTTGATGTATTATTTAAAATATGTCACTAAGAACTATTTAGAAAAATATTTTCCATTAGACCAGCCAGGACATTGAAAAAATTCCTTAGCATTTAGTCCTTTAGAAGTCTGAAATTTCATTTATAATGGTTTTAAAAAGGTCTTAAAATTAAATCTGACTTGGTCATACCTGCAGAAACACTGATTTAATCATTTAACTTCTTCATAAAATTTATATGTGGTGTTTTTGTATATTTACACTTGATCAGAACCATTTCTCATGGAAAATGGGGTTGGCAGCTCTGACGTTTTGGAGAAAACGCACTTATCTCCTGGACACAGCTTAACAAAGCGTTCCCTGTCTCAGAATAGCAACTCACCGGGAAAACTGCATCGTCTTGGCTCAACAGGTAAACAAACGAGTCACTGTTAAAATTTATTTGCACTCTGAAACTCTGAATTCTTACAGCACAGGTGTCAAAGGAGGGCCACAGCTCTGCAAAGTTTAGCTTTAATCCTAATTAAACACACCATCAAACTAATTGAGTCCTTCAGGCTTGTTTAAAACCTATTGATAAGTGTGTTGAGGCAGGGTTGAAACTAAACTGTGCAGAGCTACGGCCCTCAAGGAACTGGATTTGACACCTTTGTCTTACAGTGAAAATCATGGATTTAAGGTCTAATTTTAACCTGATGTTGTCGAGTAGCGCTCTCACGCTTTTACTGTTTTTTTTGTGTGTTTGTTTACTCTGTGTCTGCTGTTAAATCAGACAAGTCTCCTTGAAATCTCACTTTCTGTTTCTGATTGTGATCTAATAATTCTGTTTAAATCTGTAAAGATTTTGGATTAAGGCTGATTAATAATTCTGTGCCAAGCGCACGCGTATGATGTGGTGCAGCCTCTGTGTAGACACATAGCCCTCGCCATGGCCGTTTGAGTCGATTTCGCGCACCTCTCAAAAAATTTAACTACACGTCACAACGACGCGTAGCACAAGCCCTGTGATTGGTCGGCTTGGTAGCGCTGGCGAATGTGGGCTGGGCCGAGAGCTGCGCGAGTCCGTTGAAGCGAGGGTTTACGAGTGTCAAGTCCTGTGAAGGAGCTCCAGATGAAATGTTTTGTTTTGTGTTTACCTTATGGTTAAAGTTGTTGCACGTCCGCCAGTTCCTGCCTCAAAATGAGCGAGTTTAAACCACTTGTACATTAAAGAAGCGTTCAGAAAAAACATAATACTAGCAAAGAAACTCGACACAGAGGAACATGAACACATACTGCCAACTAGCGTTTCGGAAGAGTTATAGCAGAGCAACGGAAACAGCCTGCAGAAGTATGAATGCACAGCTTCGCGCATTGCATGCGCCATGGGTCACGCCGATCACTTGACGCAGAAGTATAAACCAGGGTTTAGTCAGGCATTATTTTCATGTTACTAATCACAAGACTTATGACATTTATGTCGTGTTTAGCGTTTGTCCATGTTTATAACTGGCATTCATTTTCATTATTCTGATCATAAATCGAGGGTACTTAATAAAGGTATAAACTGAGTTTGAAAAAGTTTTGAGCTTGGACACTTTCAACCTTTTTCAGAAGCAGTTGGAAATTGATTCAGTTAAATTGTTCAAATTGAATTGACCGTAAGCATCTCGCTCAATAATATAAAGAAATAAAATAAATTCAATAACTTTCCAGTTTAAAGTTGGACTCTTCTGTCGTTACACTGTACTAAGGTCTACAGACAATGTAAAGTTGCTGTTTTTTAGGTCAATATATCTAGGAGCTTTTCTCTCATTCCCAATGTAACTACATAGGAAAAAAATAGGAAATAGGAAAAGGATCGAATTGCTATGCTATTGAGATGCTAATGGTCTAATCCTATTCAATGAATTATGCTAAGCTAAGCTAAGGTAAAAGTGCTCCCACCAGACCCAGAGATTGGCTGAATGGATGTAAAATTGTTAAATGTGTGTTCCTTCAATACCTGGGGGTTAGGGATATTTGAACCTTATTCTTTAATGCAATTATGTAAACACCTTATGGATTAAAAACTGACAAAATTTTAACTGATGCCTTTTGACTGCTTTCTAGGTTCAGAGCGCTTTCTGAGCTCCAGGGAAAGCCCACGACCCAGTGGACAAGACCCCAACCTATGGACTGTAGAGGATGTTATGCAGTTCATCAGAGACATCGATCCTCAACTCGGACCACACGCAGACCTCTTTCGCAAACACGTAAGTGAGGAATACAAAACAGTTTTATTATCATCTTACATTTCAAACAGAAAACTGGAAGTGCTATATAGCCTGATGTTACTATTTTACTTCAAAAAATGTTCCATATAATTTTTTTGTTATTGTACAAATAGCCACTGGCCACCACTGACAGTCTTTAAGGAGTAGTTCAACCAAAAACGGAAATACACACACTATTTACTCACCCTCAAGTGGTTCCAAACACAAAATAAGATATTTTTAAGAAAGCTAAAAACCTGTAACTATTTGCTTTCATTCTAGAACGAACTACAGGGTTCAACGCTAAGGATTTTTTCTACTGGCCCGATCGGGCCAGAGGTTCTGATTTTTACTTGCCCTGCCAAAATTTTCACTGGCCCCACCAAAAAAAAGAAGTTAATAGCTATTTGACTGTGCTTGTGTGTGTATATAGACACACACACAGTTGATTTCAGAATTATTAGTCCCCCTAAATTATTAGCACCCCTGTTTATTTTTCCCCAATTTCTATTTAACAGAGAGCAGATTTTCTCAGCACATTTCTAAACATAATAGTTTTAATAACTCATTTCTAATAACTGATTTATTTTATCTTTGCCATGATGACAGTAAATAATATTTGACTAGATATTATTTAAGACACTTCTATACAGCTTAAAGTGACATTTAGGTTAACTAGGCAGGTTAGGGTAATTAGGCAAGTTATTGTATAATGATGGTTTGTTCTGTAGACAGTCTGAAAAACAATTAGCTTAAGCTTGACCTTAAAATGGTTCATAAAAAAAAAACTGCTTTTATTCTAGCCAAAATAAAACAAATAAGATTTTGTTCAGAGGAAAAAATATTATCAGACAAACTATCAACATTTCTTTGCTCTGTTAAACATCATTTAGGAAATATTTTAAAAAGAAAAAAAACAACAAAAGGGGGCGAATAACTCTGTATATATATTTACAGTAATTTTAAAAATGTTTTTTAAGAAAAATTATTCAGTTCATCAAGGCTATATTTATAAATGTAAAAAATTTTAATTGTTAAATATTTATAAAAATTTTAAATAACTGCTTTGTTATTGTATGTAGTTTCAAATAAAATCATAACTCCAGACATTATTGCTTTTATTACTATTACCATTAATAAATATAATAATAATTAATATTAGTGATTTCTGAAGGATCATGTGACTGGAGTAATGAAGCTGAAATTTCATCTTTAAAATCACTGGAATAAATGAATAAATTATATGATAAACTACTTTTGAACAGTTATTTTATAGTGCAACATTTCATAATTTGTATTTATGATGAAATAATTGCAGCCTTGGTGAGCAGAAGAAGCTTAGTTTAACATATTTAACAATCATACTGACCCCAAACTTTTGACCAGTTGTGTATAGAATATTTTATAAGTGAAAATGTGCACTTTAATTTTAACAACCCACAAACATCGTCACCAAATACAAATCAGAGGTCAGACTTTCTCATACAGAGCCTTATTTCAATTGTCATGTTTTGTAGATATCGATCTATTGAATTAATCAATCTATTAAAGAAACGTTGACTAAAAATCTGTATTTTAGGCTTATATTATAGACAGACATAGCAGATGAACCGAGACTGCATCAGATCGTGAAGCAGATCAATGTTGATTTACTTTCAAGCTGTCAATGCAGAAATGAACAAAACAACTGGCCTAACACAACATATTATATAATTAAAATATAGAAAAATGATCAGATATTAACTTCGGTCAATTTTCCTAACGGATAAACCGAGATCAGGCTGGATAAACAGCTCTCTGTAATATTTCATATTTCAATATTTTCGCATTTACCGGTAAGAATGACATCTCACCCTGCTCATTATTCTCTCTTCATATACCCGTATATATGGCTATTACACGATCATAATACACTGTGATATAGCCTGGGTCGTTAGTTCATTGCATTGTTTTGTTTTCTCACTATAATCGATCCGCTCAATAGGGCAGAGACCGTCTCATTCAGGCGATCTCGGACTGATTGATTTGGCGCGGATGCGAGCGCATCTGCTGGATATATGCCAGACAAACGGGGGAAACGAGTCAGTTAACGGTAACGGGGGAAACGAGACAGATTCCGAAACAAACGTCACCGTAAGATTGTATTTGCACACAATTGACAGACAGTCGCAGCACGCAGCTCTGGCTCGATCTGGCAGGCAAAAAGGCAGCACTGGCCCGATCGGGCTAGTAACATAATGTACACTGGCCCGTGTGTCTCGCACGCTGGCCTCCAGGCCATCGAGCAGTCCTTATTGTCTAGCCCTGAACTAATGCTATAGAAGTCAGTAGTTACATGTTTTTAGCTTTCATCAAAATATATTCTTTATTTAGAAAAAAGAAACTTTTAAAGGTTTGACACTAGTGAAGGGTGAGTAAATAAAAACAGAATTTTAATTTTTGAGTAAACTACATCTTTAAGCCTAGTTTACCCCCTTTTTTGCTATTTTACCAGCAAAAACTATGGTCAAAAAAGGTTTCATTGATCAAATGGAAAGAAGTCGTTGAGTTGTTTGAGTTAGCATGCTCATCTTCAATTAAATTATTGATTTATGACGACAAATTTCTGCTGACAAATATCCACTTTGAGACAAAGATATTTTCCTTTTTTTGAGAGAATGTAATATTTTTAAAAAAATGAAATGCTTAAGGCGATGCGGGTTCCCCCACAAGTCCAAAGACATGCGCTACAGGTGAACATAAGAAGCTAAATTGTCCGTAGTGTATGTGTGTGTATATGAGAGTGTATGGGTGTTTCCCAGTGATGGGTTGCAGCTGGAGGGTCATGCGCTGCATAAAACATATGCTGGATAAGTTGGCGGTTCATTCCACTGTGGTGTCCCCAGATTAATAAAGGGACTAAGCCGAAAAGAATATGAATGAATGAATGAATGAAATGCTTAACATTCTCAAGTCTGAGTGATACTCTTGTGTTACAGGAAATCGATGGCAAAGCACTTCTGCTCCTCCGCAGTGATGTCATGATGAAATACATGGGGCTAAAGTTGGGTCCTGCCCTTAAACTCTCCTTCCACATTGACAGACTGAAGGAGGGGCATTTACCATGATGGCACTCTCTCAACCTCAAACAATACCCCTTCTAAGCACATTTCAAAACACACGGCATGCTGGGATTTTTAAGTCCCCCAGTACTGAAGCAGAGGATTGTAAAGCTTTTCTCCTGCCTCTTGTCCCTCCATTTCATTCAACACTTCCTTTTTCCTGTTTTTAGTGAATTCGGTTATTAATTATAGCACTGTTATAATCGTTTTTTATAACTGATGTTCTTACGGTTATTCTCACGTTACACTTACGGTTGCATTGTTCTAGAACATTTTACCTGTTCAAACTTGACTGAAGCAGTGAAGTGGACAGTATACAGGCCGTTTTTGGGCCTCGGTTTTTGAGACGTACATTTAATTGTATATTTTTTCATCGTACATCAATGATGGTGTTTTCTACGGCTTTTATACGAGACTGATCAACTCCAAATAAACACTAGAACTCTTCCATCATGCTGGAGATCGCTCCGGACGGACACCTAAAAGACCACAACTCATCCACTTTATACACTTTACGCATTTAGAAGTTACGATGCGGTCACACTAGACTTCGAGCATCCGAATATATTGGTCAGTTATCAAATATGTGCAGCAGGATCCATGCCATCTGTTTAAATCAACTGTAAATTGGCAAATAACATGGTTCGAAATGTTTCGTCTATGTTCGAAATCCACTCCCCTTTGTAGCAGCACTGCAGACGGTTCAGTATTTAAGTTTATTTTCGTTGTGTCAAGGTCAGTCAGTGGCATTTAGATCTTCTGTTAGCCAGATGTGTTTTTCTCATACCAATTAGCAGGTCAAAACAAAGCAGCAGACCTTTTAGTATGCACTTGCGTTCAGATGCATGTGACAGGAAGTCTAGTGTGACTGCAGCCCCACTGCCTGTATTTCATATTGTGTTGATGTTTACATTGTCTTTGTTGTTTGTACTTTTTATACAACATGGTTAGAGTGCATACAACAACAGCGTTATACTCCAAAAGCTTCAAAATAAAAAGATTGGAGCTTTTCTTCTGTTTTTATTTTGTCTTTTGTCAGATCACAGATTCATGTTTATTATACAACACTTTCATTTAAGACGAAAACTTTACATTCTGTAAAAAAGTAGCTAGTTCATACATTACATTTCTGTTAAAGAGCACCTTTACAAGATGTAAGATAAGCCATCGGTGTCTCCAGAATGTGTTTGTAAAGTTTTAGCTCAAAAAAACACATCAGATTATTTATTGTAGCCTTCAGAATCTGCAATATTTTTTGTGTCTGAATGTATTGTATCTGTTTTTGTAGGCTGTGGCTTTAAATGCAGATTAGCTGCTTCTCCCTTGCTTCACCCATGTGCATGTCTGCTCTCATCATGCATTAGGTCAGATAAACAGAACAGGGACAGAGACGGTCTTGGATGAAGCTGAAATACAGCTCAGTAGTCAAACATACCAAGTAAGTTTATTTCATGTGTTAGTAGATCATTCAAGCCGTCCTGAAATGATGAGTCACACACACAGGCATATTAGCGTTTACTGACACCATGCGGTCGTGTTTATAGCAGTTAAGACAGGGGTGTACAAACTCGTCCTGGAGGGCCGGTGTCCTGCAAATTTTAGTTCCAACCCCAATAAGACACACCTGGGCTAGCTAATCAAGCTCTTACTAGGCTCTCTAGAAACATCCTTGCAGGTGTGTTGAGGCAAGTTGGAGCTAAAATCTGCAGGACACCGGCCCTCCAGGACTGAGTTCGGACACCCCTGGGTTAAGACATCGCATTTTACTATATTACAAACATGCTTTGTTTTAAAAACGTTTTAAACCTTTAAAACATATATAAATAACAGAGAGTTGAAATAGATATTTTAATCACAGTTTATTTGCTAATAAAAAATGTTCTTTGGACATGCGTATACATAGTAGTATAGACCCTGCTAAAAAATCCAGCTTAAACCAGCCTAGGCTGGTTGACTGGTTTTAGCTGGTCAACCAGGCTGGTTTTAGAGGGGTTTTGGCCACTTCCAGGCTGGTTTCCAGCCATTTCCAGCCTGGTCTTAGCTGGTCAGGCTGGAAAATGACCAGCTAAATCCAGCTAAAACCAGCTTGACCAGCCTGGTTTAAGCTGGACATAGCTGGTTTTAGCTGGGCTCCCAGCTTGGCTAGGCTGGTCAAGCTGGTTTTAGCTGGTCATCTCCCAGCCTAACCAGCTAAGACCAGGCTGGAAATGGCTGGATACCAGCCTGGAAGTGGCCAAACCCCCTCTAAAACCAGCCTGGTTGACCAGCTAAAACCAGCCAACCAGCCTAGGCTGGTTTAAGCTGGATTTTTCAGCAGGGAACATGGCGTCTAGCAATCAAATCGGTGGGCGCGAAGAAAACGAACTCCACGTTGTGGTGGGCCTTAAGATCTCTGGGATTTAGGTCCTATTTTAATGTCAGGAAATGTTTAAAAAGAGACTTATTGTGTTTATATCACTCCAATATGTCCGTGGACACAGTATACCTAAACACAGATTTGTCCAAACAACTTACAAAAGATCATGGGCGCCCTTTCATCATTGTTAAGCCGGTGAAAAGTAAAAATGGAGAAGTGGCTTTATTGAAAGATTTGTTTTTAATTGTGATTTAATTATTTTTTGTGTGTGGTTTAAAGTACATTTAACTTATTTAGATACAACTACATTCTGCTGTTTTATTTGTTTCTTTTAACACTGGTCGTGGACAAGCTGATTACTTTGTCAACCACATGAGGGCAGCACAGCCTTTTATTTATGTTGTTTTTCTGACTAAAAAATAATATAGACCTGAATGTAGACTACAACATTGATAAAAAGTCATAGATACATTTAAGATGTCTTGACAAGATGTAATATGAAACACACTGTTTCATTTAAAATGTAGTTAAGTCATTTTTGTCAGTGACATTTATGTGGTAGTAAAGCAAATCAGTAACGGTTGACAATAATTAGACCATTTCTGAGTAGCACACAGCATATAGTGAAAGTGTTTGTGGCGGTTTTCACTGACTGACATGGGTGCGCGTGTAAAGCCGAGTAGAGAGGCATGTCGCATACTGTAAATCTTACCACATTATCAAGAAACAGGAAGGAGCCTCTCAGTGTGCTACACGTTGACCAAACAACTCAGTCAGTTTGTGTGCACTCTATGGTACACAAATACAGTGTGTATATCACTCACGTGACTTGCAAATCCCTCTGTAGTTTTTAATGTGGAAAACCCCATCTCTATCATACTGAAAGAACCGTGCTTTGGAGTTTCACTGTGCAGCCTGCGTGATTACAGCATCTTCGGATTTTAGTCAGACTGAGTTTGTTTGCTTCAGATTATCAAAACTCTGAGCTTTGATTTAATTTGTTGGAGTGTTTTGTATCCTCTCAAAAAACCCAGTGGTTTTAGTCTGGCTGTCTAGGTGTCATCAAGGTCATAATATTGTGGAGAAAATGCAGTTTATTAGTAAGCAAACATCCACATGGAATTTTTAAATCCGATTTTAAAAAAAAATAATAAAGATTTTTTGTCATTTGCGACTTACTGTTCAATACACTTTAAAACAACCATGTTGCTAGGCTAATTTTGGTTTCTTTTAAAAATCAAATGGACAATTAATTTAACTCTTGGAAATAACTCCCTAATTCCCTAATTTTAAAACGATTTGTACTTTTGATGTAAAACATTTGATATAACTTGAACGTGTGTTGTATGAATGTATTCTGGACTCACTAAATCCCCATGTATAAATCATGTATGGCCTCATGGGATAGTATCCATTGTATGCAGAAAGTAGTAGCTAGGTCATCCAGATTTTGTGTACTCTTTTGTGAGTAGCCTACTGTGACTTACTTTTTACTATACTGTATACAATCCTTACCTCATCCTCCATCTTGGATTTGCAATACTGGATTTGAAAAGAATTGCTGTTTTCAAACAGGTTTCCTAAACATTTTCAATCTGTCATTATTGGATATTAGCAATTGACCCATCTCAAACTTAACACCATTGGCCATGTTGAGCAGGTCTGAATAGGAAGATAACTGTTTGCAAGGTAGCTATACCGTGGTTTGGAAAAGTCATTGTTTTAAAACCACCCAAATTTTCTGTAATACCGTTCTTAAGGTATGTGTAAGATTTTTTTATTTACATTTTTAGTTTGTCTTTTAGGACAACAGTATCTCCAGCAGAAAAGATGTCCAAATATGCCGTTTTAAACTGTAAAGAAATCAATTCTTTTATATACTAATGAAGTCAGCAGAAGTCAATGATTTTACTTGAATTATTCAGCCTGGCATGTTTACTGTCCCAAAATATTTTAAATCTTTCAAAGAATAAAATATATTGTGTTCAAAGGGGAAAAAATGTTTTTGTTTTTTACCCAGACATTTGAAAAAATTTTAGTGCAGTATTCACAATACCTTGATACAGTGAAACCGAGATTATTTTATCCAAGGTTATCATACTGTCAGAATCCTATAACAGCTCATGCCTACTAAATACTCAATATGCTATTTTTTACAGCAGTTATGCAAAGCAATTTGCTGGCTCTTTATATAATAACATCATAATGAAACAGAATAGCAATTATGACCTGATTTCAAACATGAACTGAACAGTGAACAGTTCCTGAACTGTTTCCCAATCTGTCGGGCTGTTCAAAACACACACAGAAGGCTTAAAGCCTGCCTATATATATATATATAAGACTTTTTATAATCTTCATTTATATTTTTATTCAACGACATCTGATTTAGCAAAACAAAGAAATTCTAAACTACAGAAGGTTTTGACGTCAAAAAGGCAGGGCCTTTAGAGCCCTAACCTACATATTATGTTGTCACCACTGACAAATTTAAAGGTGTTTACCAAACTTTTCTGGAAAGTTTGCTTTGGCAAGTTGATTCAGACTCCTGTATTGGCCTAAATCTGTTGTAATCATGTTACTCATATTTTCTTTCATTTCCCTTGAAGTATACCTACTAAGATGGGATAGAAAAAATATTTTAGTCAAAATATAATAAAAAACATTGTATATGGCTGGGACTTTATTATATTAAGCTGGCACCTAGCTTTCTGCAACTTTCACATAGTAGCCCACTGAAGCTAAGCAGGGCTGCAGTACCTGGATGGGAGGCCACATGGGAAAGCTAGGTTGCTGCAGGAAGCAGTGTTAGTGAGACCAGCAGGGGAGTGCTTAATCTGCGGTCTGTGTGGGTCCTAACGCCGCAGTATATTGATGAGGACTCTATACTGCTCAGTAAGTGCTGTCTTTTGGATGAGACGTTAAACCGTGGTCCTGACTCTCTGTGGTCGTTACAAATCTCACGATGTCCTTCAAAAAAGATTACATTTACATTTAGTCATTTAGCAGACGCTTTTATCCAAAGCGACTTACAAATGAGGACAAGGAAGCAATTTACACAACTATAAGAGCAACAATGAATAAGTGCTATAGGCAAGTTTCAGGTCTGTAAAGTCTAAGTTTTAGTAACTTTTTATTTATTTTTTATTTTTTTTAGTACAGTTAGTGGTATATCCAGAGAGGCAATTGCAGATTAGGAAGTGGAGACTAAATAGTTGAGTTTTTAGTTGTTTCTTGAAAACAGCGAGTGACTGTTCTGATGCAGTTAGGGAGTTCATTCCACCAAGTGGGCAGATTGAACACGAGCATTCGGGAAAGTGATTTCTTCCCTCTTTGGGATGGAACCACGAGGCGACGTTCAGAGGCGAGGCGGAGTGACATGTGCTCTTTTAGGTTCATTAAAGACCACTCGTGCTGCTGCGTTCTGGAGCAGCTGAAGAGGCTTGATAGAGTTAGCTGGAAGCCCCACTAGTAGAGAGTTGCAGTAATCCAGTTTGGAGAAAATAAGAGCTTGAACAAGGAGTTGAGCTGCATGTTCAGATAAGAAGGGTCGGATCTTTCTGATGTTATAGAGTGCGAATCTGCACGATCGAGCAGTTCTAGAAATGTGGTCAGAGAAGTTTAGTTGGTCATCAATCATCACTCCAAGGCTTTT